GGCTGCTCTGTGGCCTCCCCAGCGTCCGGGGGCTGCCGCACCCCGCAGACCAAGGAACGGCAGGGTTCACAGGGGACTGGGAGGTGCCGTCCCCACAGGAGCCTGAGCGCCGCTCACCGCTCAGTCAACACACCTCTGCCCGCGGGTGCCAGGCCTGAGTCCGACCCCCGCAGGGCCCCTCTGAAGATAGATGGCTCCTGGGGACACGAAAAGTCAAGGGAGCATGGCCACTTGTGCCCACGAGCTGTGTGCCCTGGAGCAAGCTCACCAGGAGGCAGAGGGAGGGGCGGCCGCCTCCCCTGGCCTCCAGGCAGATGGCAGAGACACACGTGTTGACGTGTGTTTGGCGACTGCGTGAGTCAGACCCTCGGCCAAATCAGAGCCTGGAGGAAACGCGTGGTTTAAACTTGCGTCTGTTGCAGAACAGGCAGCTCCCCATGGAGCCACGCGGGTTTGAACTAGAACATTCTGCACACCTTAGCCGCGGGAGGTGGAGGAACCCCCCATGAGGTGGGATTATTGGGGAGAGGGGAGACGTTGTCCCGGGAGGGGGTCCTGGGGTGGGATTGCCAGAGCTGGGGAGCAGGAGGCCGGAGAAGCGAGCTCTGGGGCCTCCCTGCAGGAGTCCAGGGCCCGGCAGCCCCCACGGCTCCCTTAGCGAGGGGCCGGCGCCCCGGCTGCTGCAGTTCCCAGGTCTCTGGTTTCACAACCGGGCAAGTCCCAGGAAAGCCAGGGTGCATTTCTCGTCTCACCGCCACCCTCCCCTGCCTGCCTGTGCCACGTCCCCGTGGGGCCTGCAGGTGCCGTGCCGTGGCCACCCAGCTCACCTCAGCCCAGGGCAGGATTGCCTGCGTGTCTGTGAAGCTGGCGGGGACCCCATGTGCCTCTGGAGAGGGTCACCTTCCACCCTCAGCCGAGCTTGCAAGACGGCCACGGCGACGCCCGTGAGCCACGTCCTCACTCTGCAGAAGGCCGGGTGCGGGGCCTTTATTATGGGCCGTGCTGTTCCCACCCAGCCTCTCCGCTGGCCTGGCCCCCAGTGGGTGTGCGGCGAAGCTGGCGTGCACTCCCGGGACGCACACAGCAGCCTGCCTTCGAGGAGGCTGAAGGTCGGGGTGCAGTGGCGCTAGGATTCGAAGCCACCTCCCACACCAGCCCGCCCCGCCCCAACCCGCCCTCTGCATCTCAGCCTGGCCCGTCCCTCGCAGTAGCGGAAATGCTCACGGACCGCCACAGCCGTCCCTCTTCTGTTCCCTCCGTGCGCACAGCTCACATTTCCAGAAAGCTGGCCGAGCTCCAGGGGCGACCGGGGAACAGAAGTGAGGATGACGAAGGCTGGATCTGCCAACAGCCCCGGGACGCCTGGAGCACAGCCAGGCGGGACCATGAGAACGCTTTGCTGCCCCCACCCCGGGCCACTGACACTTTGCTTACACATGTACATGTATTGCTCTATTTTTAAAAATCCTCCTTGGAACACTGTACGTCCTGGAACACGTGCAATTTCCATGCCGTGGGTGGGAAAATCTACAGCTAAACTCTACAAATTATGCAGATTGCGCATCCTCTGTGTTGCTAAAGACATTTATTAATGCATTCCGCCCCCACCGTCTGCGGCCTTGCGGGAAACCGACCACTGCTAGTGATGATAGTGACTGTTTGCGGTTTTAAGCCGCTGAGTTTTGGGATATTTTGTTATGCAGCAATAGATAACTGATACAGGTGTTATTGTGAACTTACTTTTTAAAATTTATTAATAGTAAGAAGGCTTCTTGCTCGCAAGAGTCTTCCAAGGGTGTCTAGAGGCCCCAGGAAAGAGGGAACTTGCCTGGAGAGACGACGGCACTCCGGAGTTTGGGAGCCTGTGGGGAAGCGAGGGTGGGTTTCGCACGTTCCCGCTGACGACCCCTCCTGTGCGGCATCCCACCTTCTCTGCTCGCTCAGCGGAAATCCGCGGAGCACCGGCTATGCAGCAGGCGGCATTGGAGGGACGCGGGACCAGTCAGCAGACAGGCAGGGGACCCGCCCTCGGCAGTGTCCATCCAGGCACCTTTCACGTGGCAATCTTGGGACTTGGTTTTCACTCCAGGCACAGACGGCGCCCTGCGGGGTAGCAAGGACGGGGCCTCGCCCGCGTCACCCGGAGAACTGCAGAAACCAGACCCGGCCCAGCCCCGCACAGGGCCGCCCTCTCAGCCCCCATCCTGCTGCATCCCAGAAGCACCGACGCCGGTCGATGGCTGCCGGTCTCCGACAGACACGTCTGGGCTGTCGGGGTCGAGGCGGCAGGCCCCCGAGGCTCTCCAGCTCACGGGCAGATGCCCCTGCCCCAGAGCCCTGCTCCCCCAGGCTGTGCTGGCCTCCACGTGTCAGGACAGAGTCGGGCTGGCCCAGGGCATGGCTGGGTCACCAACAGGCACAAGACCAGGCTCTGCCCTCCCCAAGCTCCTCACCAGTGTTGGCTTCAGAGAGCCACAGCTGTTCGGGAAGCTGCTCTTCTGTCTGGGGAAACGAGAAGAGAAAGAGGCAAACACCTGGGAGCTGAGAGCCTCCGGCCACTGAGCCGCCGGGCTCCCGGGTGCTCGGAAGAGCCGTCATATCAGCTGGCCCCGTGCTCACCGGGGAGCCCGCCACGGACCCGCCGTCCACTTTGTGTAGAACGAGGCCTTCCAAGTGACATTTTCCTAGGTGGTTTTAGGCAAATGCCTTATCATAATATTTGTGCTAAGTCGCCTTTTATGCTTTTTTAAGCTCCTGGGCTAGCTCAAAAAGAAGTCTTTGAAAATAAGGCCAGCTTAGCCAAAAGGTCAGGGGCTTGCAAACCAAACAGTGGGCTTAAGTGGCCAGGGGAGTGCGTTTCTGCTGGCGTCCACCTGTGCAGCCGTGGCCGGCTGTCGAAGGGGCGAACGCCGGGGGCGACAGGTGGCCCAGCCCGTGGTCGGGCCCTGGCGATCTCCAGGGCGGGCAGCAGTGAGCATGTTCCCACGGTCGCCCAGCACCGGCACTCCCCAGCATGGTGTGGACACTCGGGGCCCGGCATAACCCCCGTCATTGACTGGAGGATTGTGTCCTCCAGGGGGCAAACGGGCCCACTTCTGTGGAACAGGACACTCCACCTCACACCCCACCAGGTCGGGGCACAACCCCCCAACACGTTCCCACCCCTCTCAGCCCCGCCCAGGAGCCTCCATCCCCCCATCCCTCCCTCCGTTCCCATCGTACAGATGCTACATCGAGGCAGAGAAGCAGAAACACTCACCCAAATGTTAAGCAGAGGCCAGGATTCAAACCCCGTCTGCCAGCCCCTGAGCCTGCCATGCTGGCTTCTAGCAAAGGGAATATTTGTGTTTCCTCTAAAGGCTAAATATTTAAGCACTTGTTTTTATGAGCTGAGACTCCCTGATGTGAATTTTGGGCTTGGGTGGAAGAGCTCCCCGCAAAGCAGCTTGAGAACAGAATCTACAGAGACCTGGGTCACGATAGCTCCTTAGCCCAGCTTCTCCCTGCCAGGCCCAGCCCCTGCGCCACGCCGGCCGCTGGGCCTGCTCAGGTTTCCTCTCCCAGCACAGCAGGCGCAGCCAGCCAGCCGGGCCCTGACCTGGATCTCCGGGGAGGCAGAGCCATTGTTGGGAGGAGGGGTGCAGGGGAGGGCCCGCAGGGGTGACAGCGGCGGCCCCCGGGCAGCCCACAGATGGCAGCAAGCTTGTGCCCAGCCACCTCTGCCTGTGCCCCTCCAGGGGCCGGGTGGACGTGGGGACAGTCCAGGACCTAGCCCTCAAAGGCTGTCAAGGCAGGATGGGGCGTCCGGGGAGGCCCTTGGAGGGGTGAGTGTGTGGAGGGCTGCAGAGGGTCCGGGAGACCCAGATGGGCCCCACCCCGCTTCACATCCTCCCGACGCTGCTGGGCTCTCAGGGTGACCCAGATGACCAAATCCAGGCAGAGCAAGGGGCGCAGAGGTGCCCACTCACATCCCACAACAGCACAAGACCACCCCGGGTGCCAGGCACAGGGGCTGCATAAGGAGGGGTGACGTTTCTGCTTTCCCCTCACTCACCCCCTCCCAGACTTAGTGGTGCTACAGCCCCTCACCCCAGCCCCAGGCGTTCTCCACACTAGCCCACACTGGCACCCGAGTGCACCCAGGAGGGAGGGTCAGCCCAGCCCTGCCAGCAGGAAGCCACCTCCTTGCCCACCCACCGCATTACACCCTTGCCCCGCTGAGCAAGCGGGAGGGAGAGGAGAGCGCAGCTCCCCTTCCAGGGCGTAAGAAGTTGGGGAGGCCGGGGAGGAGGGGCCCTTGCCGCCCTGGGGAGAGCGGCTGGAAACATCTAATGCCCAACGCCTGCACCTGTGGCAAAGGCTGGTGCCCCGGGTGCTCACCCCAGCCCCTCATTGCCCCTGGGAGGGCGAGGGACCCGCCAGCCTGCAGGGCGGGGCGGGGACAGCAGCCTGGGCGCCTCCCTCTCCCTCCACCGCCACTCGCTTGGAGGAGGAGGCTCCAGAGCCGGGAGGGTGCGGCGCGGCGGGAGGCGTGCGAGCCGGTGCGGGAGAGTGCGAGGGAGCGGGGCCGAGCGAGGGAAGGGAGCGCGCCGGGCAGGCAGCGGTGCGTGCGCTCAGCTCTGCCCGCGCCAGGAGCCGTCCTCGTCCTCGGACCGCACTGCTGCCGGGGCCAGGGACCCGCGGGGCTTGGAGATCGGAGGCCGCCCGGAGCCTGCGGCAAGTGCTGAGCCCGGAGGGAGCCCGAGGAAGCGCGGGGTCTGCAGCCGGGAGCCCAGAACCGGGAGCCCAGAGCCGGGATCCCACAGCGAGCGCAATCCGAGCGCTCCAGGGGCCCCGCGATCTGGGTCCCACGACTCCTCGCTAGACGGCGCCCCGCTCGCGCTCCTGCGTGCGCTCTGTCCTCGGGTTCCTCCTCTTCTGTCCCCGCCTGCGACGCGCCCCCTCTGGCCGGACTTTGAGCCGCGGACGCACGGGACAGAGCCGCGGACCAGGCACCCACCATGCGCCTCAACGGCTCTGCACCCGGCACCCCGGCGGCGCTCCTGGCCCCGGGCTTCGGCAACGGTTCGGACAACGCCTCAGAGAACGTCCTCGCTGCGCCCAGCAGCGACCTGGACGTGAACACCGACATCTACTCCAAGGTGCTGGTGACGGCCGTGTACCTGGCGCTCTTCGTGGTGGGCACGGTGGGCAACTCGGTGACGGCGTTCACTCTGGCTCGCAAAAAGTCTCTGCAGCACCTGCAGAGCACGGTGCACTACCACCTGGGCAGCCTGGCGCTGTCCGACCTGCTCATCCTGCTGCTGGCCATGCCGGTGGAGCTGTACAACTTCATCTGGGTGCACCACCCCTGGGCCTTCGGCGACGCCGTCTGCCGCGGCTACTACTTCCTGCGCGACGCCTGCACCTATGCCACAGCCCTCAACGTGGCCAGCCTGAGCGTAGAGCGCTACCTGGCCATCTGCCACCCCTTCAAGGCCAAGACCCTCATGTCCCGCAGCCGCACCAAGAAGTTCATCAGTGCCATCTGGCTGGCCTCGGGCCTGCTGGCGGTGCCCATGCTGTTCACCATGGGCCAGCAGAACCGCAGCGCCGACGGCCAGCACCCCGGCGGCCTGGTGTGCACGCCCACCGTCCGCACCGCCACCGTCAAGGCCGTCATACAGGTGAGCAGCCTCTTCCAGGGCGAGAAGGACTAGAGGAAGCAGGGGCCACTGGGCGCCAGGCTGGGGTCTCTGGAGGGGGCGTCAGCAGCCATCCGTCCAGGGGAGCCTCAGCACTCCCCTTTCCCACACCCGAAAATTAGTTTGCAGTGGGGTACCCTGTGGGCACGGGAGTGGAGAGCTGAGAAAGTCTGGCCCAGGGAGGCCGGGAAGGGAGCGGCCCGGTGGGGGAGGCGGACACCCTTCCTCCCACCCCTCACGCCAGCACGGCCAGGCTCAGCCCCCATCTGCCCCTTCAACTGAGCGGGGCTGGAGACCCTGCCAGTGACCTCCCTGGGGTCTGCGGATGGACCTCAGGTGTCTGCACATTCCTCAAGAGCTCACGGAAACTTGCACGAGCTGGCACCAGCCTCTTTCGAGGGAGGGTCCCTTTCACCTGCTTCTCAGCAGGCTTTGTGCCCCCAAGAGGTTATGACCCTCTCCTCTGCAGAGATGCCCCAAAGCAGCCCCTCCTGCCACTGGCTGCCCTGACTCGGCACAAGCCTGAGTGTCAGAGCTAAAGCTGGTGCCATCTTGGGCTGGTTCCTAGTTAGCCTCAGTTTCCCTACCTACAAAATGGGGTAGTCATGGCACTGCCCTCAGAGGGAGAGCACTGGGCACCCTGGTGGGAAGGGCTGGCGTGGGCCCTGGCGCATGGACGCACTCACAGGCGACGGCTGTTGCTGGTGGTGGTGGTGATGTTGTTTCTGCTGGGAAGACAGACGGGAGGGTGTCCACAGGGGGAGTCGGGGCAGAGACGACACTGAATAGCGTCTGGGCCCTAGGACTGGGTTGCCTTGGAGGTCGGAGTTCCCTCCATCCCAGAGCAGGCCGAGGAGGGCAGGGGGTGGAAGGGTCTGGGCGGGGTCTCTCTGCCGAGCCAGAGGGGCCAGGGCAGCCCCAGCATCAGCCGCCTCCCTGCGGAACTTCCGCGGCTGCCTCGGAAGCCAGCGTGCGGCTGTGTGCCCGGTGGGAAGACGGCAGTGCCAGGGAGGGTGCCGCCTGCTCTCACCCCCGGGCCCTGGCTGACCCTCCACCGACCACCGCTGAGTGGGCCGTGGGGGTAGAACTAGACTCCTGTCCCCGCCTTGTGTGTAACTTGTGGCTACAGGTGTCCCTGCACTGGGAGGTCCCTCCCGAGCAGCCGCGAGGCAGGGGTGAGTCAGAGCCCTGCTCTGCAGCGAGATTCCTGCCCTTCGCCAGAGGCAGACGTAGCCGGGGACTGTGCGTGGGAAACAGAGTGGGAAATCTCCTTCCTCCTCCTCCGAGGCTCCTGTCTTTGACGGGCTTTGCCCAGGGGGGTTCTGGTTGAGGGGCCTGGGGGCAGCAGCCCGGGTCAGATCACCACGAGGGGTCGGTGGGGGTCCGTGTGCTCAGTGCCCACCTGGAGATGCCGCACTCAGCCCCCGCCCCTCCTGTCCTCCAGGCCTGGGCAAGAGCGCTGTGGCCTTTCGAAACCATTGCAAACCAGCGCAGCACAGGGAGAGAGGACAGCCCAGCCCCAGCCCTCCAAAATCCCCCTCTGTCCTGTGGACCCTCTCCCGGGCCCTCGCGATTGGACACCCACACGACATCACTTGGCCCCCAAAGTGCTGTGTGCCTGGTCCCGCAGCTCAGGTGCTGACCCCCTCAGACACCTGTGGAGCGGCGGCCCTGGGCAGGTGCCGCTTCCCGAATGCTCTCTGGCTTCCTTAGCGCCCTTGACAACGTCATCCCCATTTGTCTTTAAGGGGCTTGGGAGTGACTGAGGACAAGGCCGCTCTCCCATCCGAAGCTAGTGGCTGTGCCCAGGCTCCACGGGTCCTGCACTCCAGCTGCTCTGTGCTCGTGACAGGAACGTCCCTTTCAGGAGAGGCTGGGCCTGCCCCGCCCCTGCCCCACCAGCTGCCATCATAGGAGGGTTTCCCAGAGTGGGGGTTGTACGGTCCCCATATGGGCTTCTGGGCTGTCTGGCAGACCCAGGCAAACGTCTGCTATTTCCAAACTGTGGCCCTAGGAGAGCTGGACATTGGTCCTCGTGCCCCTCTCCTTGACCATGTTTGGAATGTCGAGGCATTGGCCAAACATGTTGGCCTTTCCAGCCCACGTGCACCCACGGGGCCTACCACCGTCCACAGCAGTGAGACTCTGACCTGGGCACTTGCAAACTGAATTGGGTTTAGAAATGAGGGGGGTGGTGGTAAAATTGGCACGCAACTTTGAGCACTCCCGGGCTGGCTGGCAGCTGGCACGTGTGCCTGGGGCCAGCTGGGTGACTGAGGGGGGAGCCAGGCTCAGGGACCTTCAGGGTGCCCTCGGGCTCCCCCAGGACTGTCCTGTCCCTGCTCTGACCCACATAAGTGGCCCTGCCCACGTGGACTGACCCTGAATCTTTCGTGGCACCCTGCAGTCCAGGCCCAGCCTCCTGCTTTGACCACAGGGGTGACGAGGTCCTGCTGGCACAGACTGTGTGTCAGCAGGTCCTGTGCTCACTGCCTGGGGAGTGTGTGCACACACATGCGTGTGTCTGGGGCACTGACAGGGACAGAGGCCTGGGGCATTTGGGCATCGGCTCAGATCTGACGTAGGTGGCCATGTCCTTCGGAACGGTTTTCAGAGACACCTCCCCCACCACACAGCACACAGCAAAATAAGCCCTGCCAGCATCACCAGGCGCGAGTCCGTTAGATCTGCCGTCCGCGGCCGCCAAGGGCCCTTTTATCTCATCTCATTAGTGCCGACCCCGGGGCTCAGCCTGCGCCCTCGTCCCTTGTTGCCTCAGAAAACCTCTTCTGTGTTCAGTGCACACAGACGCGCTCCAAGCTGGGATCAAACCCGGACTCCAGGGTCCCGGCCTCCCTCCCGGGTGAGGGGAGCGCCGAGCAGCCCTCTGACCCGCTGCGTGCCGGGAGCTGGCATCACACACCCTCTGCCCGGAGCCCATGGCAGATGGGTCTCAAGGTGGCGTCGTGGACACCCAGGCCATCAGGGGCCGGCAGATTCCAGGAGGGAGAGGCAGCCAGGACCTGCTCCCGCAGGGAAGAAAGTTGGTTCCCGTGAGATCGGGCCAGGACTGTGCCCGGGGCTGCCCCAGCGGCTGCTCCGCGGGCCACGCCCTTGTTCTCCGGAAACACGCACAGCTGTTTGCAGGCCAAGGAGTGCGATGTCTCCTGCTCACTCCCGGTGGTGCAGGAAGGAGAGTGTGGCAGCTCCCAGGAGAGCGTGTGGGGACATGGGTGGAGCAAGGTGCTGGGGACCTGCAGGCCTGGGTGCTGTCCTCACGACCTGTCTGCGGTTCGGAACTTTTTCGAGAGGGGAAGATGCAAAAGGAGTTGTGTGTGGGTCCCACAGGGACAGAGACTGCCACAAGGAGGGGCGGGCAGTGGACCCCCAGGACGGCGCCCCACATGTGGCCATGGTTCTCGCGTCTGCAGCTCAGGGGTGGAGTGCGGTTGGCGCGAGGGAAGGGGCCGCACACTTCCTCGCCTGAAAATCCGTGGCCCTTGGGAGGGAATCAGGCATTTTCCTGCCTTTCTTTAGGGCGGCACAGGGGCAGGCAAGGGCGGGTCTCGGTGCAGGATGCTGCAGCCGCCCCGCGCGGGAGCGAGAGCACCGGGCCCCGTTTAATGGCTCCTCAGCAGCGTTGGCGGCGAGTCAGGGGCCCGGTTGTGGGGTCCACATGGCCCCCTGGTGAAGAGCAATCAAAGCCGAATCTGGTGTAGCCCCAGACGCGGCTGCCGGCTCGGAGATGCCCCGTCAGGATGCGGTGGGCACGGTTCCCCTGCCAGGAAGGCTCAGGACAAACCACCAGCCTGTCCCAAGAATGAACAGCAGGGCCTGTGGGTAACAGAGACTCAGGGACGCATCAACCAGCCGCAGTGACCCGTCCTCACACCAAGAAATGATGAAGACGTCCCAGACCGCGGGCCCTGGGGCCCTGCGCACCGGGGCAGCCTCAAGGCTGTGGCTCCCTCCTGTGCCGAAGCCCTGTGGGCGTGGTCTTCGAAACAGGACTTACAGGCAATGATGTGGCGTCTCAGGTTTACTGAAGCGGGGCCTGGGGAAGGGGACACAGGAGGGCTGCGGGTGAGACAAGCTCAGCCTGGAGTCCATATTGTGTATTAGCGATGCTCTTTGTGTATGTTTGAAGATTTTGTAATTAAGAGTTTTCTAAAGGCTAAGATGCCACACACAGGCAGGACAGAACTGGCTTGTGAAATCTGCCTTCAGACTGCGGCTCAGAGGCCCTGGAAGGAGGGAGGGCCTGGCCTGCGCCCGGGGGCCAGGCAAGAGACCACAGGGTGAGGACGCGCAGACAGACCCTCGCTGGACAGGGATGGGGCCCCGAGGTGTCCCCGGCCAGGGACGTCCAGTCCGACCCTCTGCTGCTTCCCGAGGGTGCGCGTCAGCCTCCCAGGGCAGACTGGCGTGTGAAGGGGCACGAGGGGCCCGGAGCTGGCCGCGGCTGGCTCGGACCCAGCCTGGAGTCCTGGAGGAGTGACATCCCCTGGCCCCCGCGTTCCCAGCTCTGCGTTGGGACCAGATGTCAGCTCTCCCGTCCTACGCCCAGACTGATGGCCGTCTGAGGACGTGTTCTCTCCAAGGACACAGTGTGTCCTGAGGCCCCGTCTGCAGCTCTGCGGGTGCTGAGGGGCGGTGCGGGGGTGGGCGGGACCGCTGCTCTGTGCCGGCCGACACCGCCCCCCCGCCCCCCGCCGTGAGCAGGTCGCCCCAGACCAGGCCTCGTGACCTGGGAGCTCAGCGCCTTGCGGCACTTCCTCAGGAGGTCGCTCTGAGAGGCAGGGAGGCGCCGGCTGATGAGACTTGAGGGGCGGGGGCGCCGCGCGGGCACAGCAGCGGCGAGGTCCCCGGGCTGGGCGGAGCCCCGGAGCGCGCAGGGCCGGCGGCGTCAGGCCTGGGCGTGAATGTCGGAAGGCAGAGCCACCTGGTTTTCCTCAACCATAGAAATAAAGTCCCATCTGGTC